CGGAGGCGAGGAGCCGAACGCGGTGGCACGGGCCACGGATTCGCCCCCGAGGAAGCGCGTGGAGACGAGTGCGGGAGCGGTGTCGGTAGCGAGAGCGGGTTCGGTTGCGGGAGCGGTGTCGGTAGCGAGAGCGGGTTCGGTTGCGGGATCGGGTGCCGAATCGGGTGAATTGTCGGGTTTTACCCATGGGGGATTGGTTGAGGCTGGAACCAGTCTCGCTTACAGTGGCTTATCTACTAAGGCGGCTGGTTCTCAGCAGCTTGGGGGTCAACCCACATACAGTGGTGCGACCAAAAAGTCGGTTGAGGGACCCACTGCGGCCAGCAACGTCACCGTTAGCGACATACGAGGTGCAGCGTCTGCTGAGGCGGTGAAGGCGGGGAAGGTTTCGGGCGGTCTCGTCAAGGCGTGTAAGGCCATTACCGCCAAGATGATGAGCGCTGCGTGTGAATTGGTCATACCTAGGGAGACCATGAAGAAGCTGCTGGAGCTATCTTCGGGGCTCATGCCGCGATGCTACCTAAGCCGGTAGAAACATGATCGGTCGTGGTGAGGAGCAAAAATCCTTCTACCACTTCAAAGGAAGTGGTTCAGAAGGTGGTGAAGAAGGTGTGCCCTAACTTTAAAGTTAGGGTACATGAGGTGAAGGCCGTTAAAGGCGGCGAGGCGATTATTCGCACGTCGGTTGTCGCTGAGCGTGAAAAGGTTACCAGAAACGAGCTCCTCAAAGAGTTGGGGTTAGACGTGGAAGAGAACCGGAAGCTAGGAACCAGCGTTGTGGTTCAAGGGGCTCATACGGAGATCACTTCTGACGAGTTCATGAGTGATTTGATCTGGATGAACTTCGAGAATAATAGTTCCGGATGCCGACCGCAGGACATTCGGTTGGACAGTAGTCCTTGGGAGAAACCGCCTAATAGTACGACGAACGTTGTCCTGAAGGGTGCGGACAGATTCATGTCGACCCTACTGGCGAACGGCGTTTGCTACATTAAGTGGTTTTCATTCCGAGTGCGATCGGACAACCCAGTGCCAGGGTGTTTCCGGTGTGTAGGTTTTGACCATAGGGTGGCTGAGTGCAAGATGAAGTCGGATGTCAGTCGGAAGTGCGGGCAAGAGGGGCACAGTTCGGCAGGCTGCGGCAATGTAGTGCACTGTCGCAACTCTCAGTTTAAGGGCTTTTGAGCCGATCATCTTATGATGTCGGTTTCTTGCCTCTTTACGGTGCTATCATTGCACTCGCCAGACACTGATGGTTACAGTTAAATTGTTAGGGGTCTTACGCCAGTATGTGTGTGCTTGGAGCTCGTCTGTCTGAGAGGGTTACAGCGTTGCAGCGGGTGTTAGATTTTAGATGGAGTGCTAGGGGGGTTGGGGAATAAGTTATCACAACTTGATTGAAATTGTGTTCACTTCTTCCATTACTTTCCCAAGTAGTGAGGCTGTGAGTATGCTTTAAAGCTTCGTGTGGATGAGCAAATAGCTCATCTGAATGAATGTGTTTGGAGTGTCAATGATTGTATGTTTCGTAGGCTGAAGAGGGACAGTGTGAGATCTGAGAAGTGGTGGACAAGGGAGTTGAGCGAGAAGATTAAGTCCGTCCTGCGGTTAAGACGTCAGATCCAACCGTGGCAACCTCGAGAGCGTGGATCGTTTGAGGATCCAATTTAGGCGTTGTATGAATGAGTATAAGAAATGTTGGTGAAAATCAAGTGGAGAATGTACGTAGAATCCAGCGTGGATGATCCCTGTCTACAGGATTTGTCGTAGTAGGAAGAATGAATATGTTGATTCTCTCCGTGTTGATGGATCTGTACTATCAACATGGAGTGAATGCGGGAATTACTTGATAACACGTTCTTTCCTAGGGCGGAGTCACAGGTACCTCACACACAAGGGGTGCCTGTACTTCCAATAGACGAAGGCGAACTAGGATATGTATTTAGCCTGGTTAGGAGTAAAAAGTCAACAGGTCTTGACGGTTTGAACGAAGAGATGTGCAAGCTGGCGGAAGTTCATTCCTGACTATCTGGAGGCTTTTTATCACAAATGCGTATGGGAGGGTTACTTCGCACGTGTGTGGAAGTGTGCAAGAGTTGTTTCTCCCCTGAAGTCCCCCCATAAGATCAGGAGTGATATTCGATCTTACCGAAGCAGCCACTGTAGGGAAAAATGAGTGTGTTAGTGTTGGTGTGGTTCGTAGCTGCCCTGGGACTAACCATTGGTGAAAGGGTGAATTTAGCTCTGCACTTTGTGCGTTCGAAAGAGAAAATGGAGTGTGTTGTCGGACAAGCACGTCGCTTTTTAAGGTGTGATTGGGGCCTCAATCGGCGTGCTGTTCGTTCAATATATCGGGGTCTATTTGTGGCTTTCGCCATTTATGGCTCTGCTGTATGGAACGAATCAGTTATGACGGCTGTAGATAGAAAGTGAGTGCTATCTGTGCAGAGAGTGATGTTGTTAGTTTGTAGGCCAGTGTGTCGCATCGTCTTCACTGAGCCGTTGCAGGTGTTAGTGGGTGCCCCTCCGTTCGACTTGGTGGTGATACAGCGTGCTGTAGCCTTCAAGCTGAAGAAGGCAAAGGCATCTGAGGTTTAATTGACCATTAGGTTAGGAGTAAGAATGAGCGTGTTTGAGTCGGTACGCGGGAAATGAGGTTCAAAACCATGCCACCGGAGCTGTATAAAAGCTTAACTGGTAGTAGCGTCGGAGATCTAAATCTGGACAAAGGAGCCATCGGAGCTTGCTCCGACCTGTTCAAGTGGATAGGTCCCCTCGGGGGATATCGTGCTGGCTGTGGTTTAAACCCAAATGCGGGATGGATTGGCCTTGTGCTCAATTTGGAGTTGTATTGCAACCGGGTGCCGGACCCATAGTACGGCGGAGGTTTTAGATAGGCCTCGACCCAAAAACAAAAAGAACTTTTTTCCAATTCCAGGCCTAAAATATGCCTGTTACAGGCCTATTCTCACTGTTACCGGTAAAGTAAATTACGTTACTTTTCTTTAACACCCGAAATTGAATTTGGTATTCTGGCGAACTGGTTAATGCCTACCCATTTTGGTTTTTATTATTTCTAAAACTTACAACACAATATTAAACAGTGGATTTTTTGGCTGTGCTTTCCATTATGGTTCCAATGCTTGTTTCAGACAATCTAATTGACCAATCCTAATGAAATTTGCAGGAGTTATTGCTGTTGATATAATCTATGTTTATTTAACACATAAATGTTTATAAATTATACAGAATTTGTTGTTAATAAATTAACATTTTCATCACAAATTTTTACTTAGCACGTGCACTTATTTAACATACATAATGCGAAATACCAACTTTGATCTGTTCAAATGCGATTGCCAAAAATTGTTTTTCAATATAAATGTCCGACAATAACAATTAGTGGGTGTTGCCATACGGAATAAAAATAAAAATACAATACTGTACAAGGTCGTATTTACACAATTATAATTTAAAAACATTTTTTATACTTCATGAAAACAATGACATAAAATATTATGCAGTGCGAAGGCGGTGTTGGTCCGGCTCAGGGTTACAATCAAAAGCGCGGCCGAAGGCCGCCAACTTACGGAGTAGTTTCGCCTAAAAATACTATGCAAGGCAAAGTCGGCGTTATTTTTAACAGGTGTGGCATCTTTTAAAATTTAAGAAATAAGAGCAAAGCAAAATAATCGTAAAATTTCGTTTTTCTTTTTTCGTGTGAAAAATTAACTACCGTTATTTTCAATTGCGTATATTAAAAGTATCGAATCAGCGAGATTTAATTTACATTTTTATTTTTTCATAACAATTCTCTAAAATTAATTCAAATTTTATTAAAATGTGTGACACCGAGTATGGTAAGTCCAATTGCGTTTAAAATTTTATGAATATACATATGTGCTGAGCATAATTCTTTACAGAATCTGATGTTCCTTCTACCAGCGCAGCGGCAGCGAAACCGGTGCGGCTTACTGCGGAGGATTTTCGCAACATGTGGGGCATCCATAGAATGCGGGACAATCTAGGAACTGTTGAGCAATGCATAGCATTTGCAGAGGAGCATGAGCTTCTGCTAAGAAACAAATTGTGTCCTTCTCATAGGACGCCCATGTCATTGATGAGAAAGGGTAATGACGTTCTCGCCAGTTTTTGGTGCCGCAAAGGAAAATGAAGGGAGAAATCCAGTGTGTCAAGGGCAAAAGGCACCCGGTTTGAGGAGGCTCGGATATCCTTCCCACACATTTTTTATGTATTTTTTTTGCTTTGCGCATAAGAAATCGCAATTCCTTGGTGGGCCCTTGTCGAGCCGGACCATCACGGATTGGTAAAGTTACTGCAGGGAAACCGTGGTGCTGTACCAAGTTGACCAGCAAACAACTGGGGGAAAAATATGTGGTCCGGGCAAGGTTGTTCAAATTGATGAAAGCAAATTTGGGAAACGGAAATACAATAAAGGTAATAGTTATATATTTTGTTATTATATAGGTCTTAACATTGTATTTAATTTTTATTAGGGAGAAGGGTCGAAGGCCATTGGGTTCTGGGAATGATTGAGGACGGCTCGGAGGATCTACGTTTGGAGTTGTGCCCGGACAACGTGCGATTGGCAGAGGTGCTCGTACCACTCATCCAAAAACACGTAGCTGAAGGGACAATCATTCATACCGATTGCTGGAAAGCGTATGATTGTCTCTCCAGATACGGGTAAGTGCACCATAAGGTTAACCACAGTGACCCGGATAACCCGTTTGTGGCACAGGATGGCACACATACTCAACGTATTAAGTCGCAGTGGAAAGTTATCAAACGGTTTCTTCAAAAAGATAAATACAATAATCCGGCTAATTTCATATTTCCTTTTATCATATTGAATACCTGTGGCGAAAATCTGTAAAAAAAAACATGGAAGACCCGTTCTTAAAAATTATAGAAGCCCTCAAATATACATATAAATATAAAAATTTTATTCTAGTTGTTTTATTTCAGAATTTCTTTTTTAAATGTGGACACACCAAAATTCACAGTAATGACACAATGTACAAAATAATATGGTAGAATTTAATTTTTTTGCTATTTGCTCAGAAAAGATTGTGGGACGAAATAGCCCTGAATTTAAATTCATTTTATGAGCCGAATCAATCACACTGTAATTACCCTTCCGGTTCATATACAGGCTTGCTGGATTTGTAGGGTCGTTGCTTGTAGGTGCCATAATGCCAATGTGTGTGCAGTCATTTGCACCAATGAAGCCTTTTATTCCAAACATCGAATAAAATCTGCAAAAAATTGTACTAATATCTTATTAAACTGTTTAAAAAAGTTGTTTTTACCTTCTTTTTGTTTGTGTTTGCATTTCACTTGTTATTGGGAAGCAAATTTTTCCGGCTCTCACTTTGACAATCAAATTTGAAATATTATATAATGCAGTGATCGCGAAACAGAAGACTGGCTCATCGCAGTTGGACAATCGCCCCCAACGCATTTCTGATACGACCCGTGGGAAAAGAAGTATATTGTTGAGAGAAACCTCAAATAAAACGGCAAGGACGGCTTCTGTCTAAAAAAAAAAAAAAGATTATTTAAAAATTATGAACAAAAATGAACATTTACTCAATTGTCATATGGTGCTAATTCGTTCATAAGATCCCAATAAACTGGTTTGTTCAGGCGAAAATGGTGAATGAAAACGCTGTCTTCCAAATTAAGTAGGTAATTTTTTTCTCTCAAACTTCTTAAAATACGGCTTTTTGCACTTTTTTCTTCATCTTCAATTAATTCTAAACGTAAAATATGTCTATACATTTTGGTTTTTTATTTTTTTACAAATTACCAACACAAAACGAACAGCTGATTGTTTGTTACCTCCTATTTCGCTGGTAACAAAATTTACAGGGTAACAGTGAGCTCAGAATACGAAATGGTAACAAAATTTACTGAATGGTTAATTTTAATACATTGGTAAATATTGTTACCTCGACAGAATAGGCCTGTTAGTGGCAAATTTAGTACCAAAGAAAGTTTTATTACCTCGATAGAATAGGACTGTGAAACTGTTTTGCGCAGAAACACCATTTTCCGTTGCATACTTATAGGCATATACTCAACTTCGGTTAGAGTCCTGCAACGAAGCGCGAAATGATAGCTTATCTACAAATAGTTTCGAAATGCTCGTTGTTAAAACAAAAAACGGACGATTTAGCTTTCATAAAAAGAATTAACCGAAATCGCAACACCGTTAACAAGTTGATTGGTCCTTGACAGTGTGGCCTATTACCTGGTAAATCCTCCATTGACCAAATATCCACCAAGCGTCAAATTTTGAAAAACATCCGTGAGAAAAGCATCGATACACATGACCTTTACATTGATTTTAATAGTACCTGCGACAGAACAGTAAGGAGCGGCCTCTACGTCGTTATGTCTGATATTGACATTATTAGCCTAAACAAAATTGCATTCGCGGATTGGCTCCCATGTCACTGTTGACATTCATAACCTTGAAGGCGTAGATAATTTCGTCTACCTAGGAACCAGCATTAACAGCAATAATAATTCCAGCCTCTAAATTCAACGCAGTAGTACGCTTGCCAGCTGGTGCTGCTCCGGAATGAGTTGGCAGCTAAAAAGTAAAGGGTAAAGTCATGTCGTCCGTATGGATGAAAGCACTCAAAAAGCGAAAAGATAATATAATAATATAATAAAGATTAATAAGAAGAACGATTTTCTCGCAGTATTTGAGATTTCATTAGTTGAGTGTTTTTTTCTACACCTGCGAAGTTACGATAGAGCTCTATATCGCAGTTGTTCGGGCTATTTCCTTTTGGATTGTAGTCTGCCAGTGCAGTGACCAGCACTTGAAAAAAAATTACAGCGATTCTGTGCATCAGCGGAGCACTTCGTATGACACCAATTGAGGCTACGTACGTGTGTGTTCTCTTAGATCTACTCCTAATTGACATAATGGAGCTGCATAATACATTCACTGACTTCACGACAGATTTCAAGTTCAGAAACTTTTGGGGCAAGATAATACCAGTAAACAAAGACTCGATATCTCCTTGCATAACTTTGGACGCTAGCTTCCCGTTATTTGAGTTTTTGCTTTCTTGCATATGTCTGTTGGAAGGAAATCATTTTTAAAATAACATATAAATTACAATACGTTGTTACAGAGCGGATTTTAATATTTTTCCTTTTTTAGGGGCATACTTTCTGAAGTAATTGATTAGCAAATAAAATATAACTTTGTGAAAAGTTTGTACAATGCGCTGAGGTAATCGTTATTTCAATAACATTCATAAATTACATTTTTGCTTTATGATTAGTTTTCGCAATAAGTGCGCATCAATCTGTACTGTACATATAACTTCGTATGGTTTGTGTCCAGAGTATGTATGCTTATAATACTAAGTGGCATCTCTTGTCTAGAACGTAAATAAGCTGATGGTCTTGCTCTAAAGCAAAGACCACAACCAGTGACAACATGGTGTATCACATTAAAATCAAACTTTTGTAATAAATCTCGCCACTCAGCATGATAAATCGATAATAACATGCAATTCAGTTTAGTAAAGCTATTTTAGATGGAAAATGACTTGATAAAGCTAGATATTAAGGAAGGCGAAGCAACAAAGACATCGCTATACAAATGCCATCTGTGAAAGGAAAATCACTGTATGCGCCCCTGCCTGTTTCTTTGTCAAAGACCCCGAAAGAGAGACTTCGCTGAGCATAACTTGGTCCCTTCTGTGCCAATGGAGTTATAGCATGTTCCACGAGTCAATTCAGATGTGGAAGGTGCAACGAACGACAAGGTACCACCCTCCGCATAGAGAAAAGGACAGAAAACAAATGAAGCCAACATCAAAAAAGCGACCGGCTGCAAGGATGGGCAGATCAAGTGACAGACCAGAAAATCTTCGACGCGATCTCTATACATACGAGTGATTTCGACCGCGACACGCAGTCTATGAGTCAGCAGAAGGTCAAACGAACCAAAGGAAACAAAGCCTTTCCGCCCGACTTCAGAGAGAGGGGTATGGAAAGTCAGACTCTCCGTCCCTCTCTGCAACACGAAAACACGAAAAGGGTCCGACCGCTGGATCGGAAACTATGACCACACCAAAATAGGAACCGCAAATTGCGAACCAGGTCTTTCCACCTGCTTCCTTCATCGCTCCATACAAACGACTAGGCCTCGTCAGCTACATAGCCAATTACGAAGTGGGAATCTTGGCGATCATACACTTTTGAAGCAAGCGCTACGGCCAATTTTAGCAGTGGCGCCAACAGTGGAGTCAGGAGGTCGTTTGCATTTAGTACCTGCGTTGAGAGATGTTTTTGTGCCAAGGACTTTATTTCTAAGAATCTAATGCGCGAACTTCGCAAAAATGTACGTCGCGGCTCAGTGGCAAACACGGAACGTGTAAAGGTCTTTTTGCGTGAAAGTAAAAGTGTTGTGGAAAGTTAGAAATATTAAAGTAGGTATAAACAAGTACATATATGGTCCTTACCTGAGTGCGCATACCTCTTAATGTGTTTGTGTATCTAACTTAGTATAAGAAACACATGAAGTGGAACTTGAACACAAAAATAAAACTGATAAGTACAAATTTTTATAAAGTGAGTAAGATGGAAAAAAGTGAAACAATTTCTGAAATTAAGTCAAGTGTAAGCAAATCCAGCTAATCTTGTCACCCAAGGTAGGAATCTTTGAACAGCTTTAGCAAAGTGTGACCATTTGGCCGAGATGCAACCCAATAATTAATAAAGTGTGCCCTCAGCAAATATAAATATTAAAATTATTAATAATAAAAATAAGAAAAGTAAAATACAAATAAAAATAAAAAATTTAGAAAATAATAAATAGTAATAATAAGACTATAAATATTTATCGGCGTCCGCGGTAGCCGAGTGGTTAACGTTGCGTACTGACACTCAAAAGGCCTGGGCGCATATTCCCTTGCCAGTTATGGAAAATTAATTTATATATAAAATTAAGCCAAATTTTTTAATTGCGGCCGCCCCTCGACAGGGAATGCCAGCCCCTCCTTAGTAGCTTAGTATAAACTCTAGGTCCCTTCATTTGTCAGAAAAACATGAAGACGCAAAACCACAAACTGAAGGAGGAGCTCGGCCGTTGCAGCGGTTATATATAACGATTATATATAATGGTATATATATTGATAATCAAAGTATAAAAATGATAAATAGTAATAGTAACAAATAAATAAATTATTTATAATAATGGCAGTAATAATAATAATATAAACATTAACAAAATAATATTAATAAAAATGTATGAAAAATATTTAATATTTACAACAAAAACAATAAAAAAAAATATTAATAAATAATAACAATAATATTAGTATATAACTATGAAAATAATTACAATAATAAAAGCATTAAGAATATATAACATAAAAGGTATAAAGTATTACACTCAAACTATGAGTGTTCTCAGGTCGACCTGGGCGTCCGGACATCACTGCACTAAGTTGTGATGACGGCAATGATAATGGAAACGGGCCTTATCCTTTTGATGAGTCGATGAAAATATTGCGCTCGCCGTCTTAAGCACGGGTAAGTTTCCGATTAACCAGCCACAAGCTAAACTACGAGTCCTGACCACTATTAATTCGCACGGCCAATGTTTTTACGCATATGCAATGTTTAGCACACAATACGAGTATATGTGAAGATAATGCAGATAACACATACAAACATATATTTTTCTGAAAGATAATTTTATTCTCTATTTGATTGAATAAAAATTTAAAAAAAATTTAAATTTAAAAGACCTTAACTTTGGGTTTTAAAGGGTTAGTATATTGATAAGTTACTTAGCGAACTTAAGCCTAATAAGTAAATTACTTTTTAGGCAAAGCAAAAGCCATTGCTCACAATTCGTCAAAAGAAGAAGCGTTTGCAATGGACTAAGCTGAGAATATCTTGGACTCAAAGGCAATGAAATACCATCATATTTAGCAATGAATCTAAATTCGATGTGAAGGTGGGTGATTCGCGGAGAAGAGTTATTCGAGCAAAGGCAGAAGCATACCATAAAGATTGTATTAAAAGGACAGTAAAGTTCCCTGCAAGTGTTATGGTGTGGGGATGCATGTCTGCCAACGGGGTGGGAAAACTGAATTTTGTTGATGGAATTGTTAACGCTGAAAAGTACATGCATATGTATATTGGAAGAAAATTTGCTGCCATCAATATCAAAGCTGTCAGATGGTGGTGAATATACTTTTCAGCAAGATGGAGCGTCATCTCACACTAGTAGAAAAACCCGAAGTTGGCTGGAGCAAAAAGGATTTGAGCCTTTGGATTGGCCATCTAATAGTCCAGATCTCAGCCCAATTGAAAATATATGGGAAATTAAGCTGCAAGAAATATGGGACTCTATTTCAACAGAGCAGTGCCAATACCTGCTTAATTCAATGCAGGATCGTTGTAAATGTGTTATAGAGGCTAAGGGTGATGCTACCAAGTATTAATATTGAGTATATATATTATATTAAGCCAAATAAACTGTAAAGTTTGTAGCGTACGAAATAATAGTGGTCGAGCGTTTGTAAACAATAATAAGAATAGTGTATGTAAATAAATGCTGTTGTTGTTGTACGCTAAACAACAACAAAAAAATTTTTTCTATCAAATAGAGAATGAAATTATCTTTCAGAAGAATATATGTTTGTATGTGTTATCTGCATTATCTTCACATATACTCGTATTGTGTGCTAA